ATATCGTATAAAGATATATGTAGTTGGAGTTTATCAGACCTCTCCTCCAGTGAGAATGGCAAGATCTTCTAAATTTGCCCTTCTGCTATCCCCAAAACCGGGAGCTTTCACAGCACAAACCTAAAATGCAGCATGAATGATTATTAGGAAAAGAAGAAAATCATAGTCTAACAGCTTCACTTGCAACACAAGACATATGTGAGCCCACAAAATCCTAAATCAGATTGATGAATATGGCGTTATATGCATACCTTCAACCCAGCACGATGCTTGTTGATAATAAGCATAGAAAGCACTTCACTTTCAACATCTTCGGCAACTATTAGCAGGGGACGGCTTCTCTGATAAAAAAAAACGTCACCAGATGAATTTGTCAATCATAATTTCCTTTCTGAATATGTTCTATAATCACCAATTAGTCATCATGCGTATTCAATTTCACACGAATTTGTCAATCATAATTTCCTTTCTGAATATGTTCTATAATCACCAATTAGTCATCATGCGTATTCAATTTCACTTGGAACTCTTAAGTACTACCTTATAAAATTTCATGAACTGATATTACCTTTAATGAAATCTCCAGTATTCTGACGAGGGCATTCATGTCTGAAATTTTCTTCTCATGGATAAGGATCAAAGGATTTTCAAGTTCCTGTTTGAAATTAAAGAAAGTAATGTAAATAAGACCAATTAACATGACTGGTTTAGAACTTAAGGGGGAAAAAAAAAACCAAGAAAACAAAAAAACAAAAACAAAAACAAAATGAACAATTCCGCCACAATTACATTTGTTTTATTTTTTTTCATTAATAACTCCTCCAGCTGGTAGCAGGTAAGACATTTGCCAGTTTACACATGAACAACTTTCAAGGACAAAATAAATATTGGACAAAGACAACATTATATTTACATACACATGTTTGAGTCTTTGAATCTGTAACGAAATAAGGAGATATATAGCCACGGGCTAGCTTCATTCCCTCCACCACTTCTAACTCATTATCCATAGTTTTGCCATCCTACAAATTTCGGAGGATTACATATATTAGTAACAACTGACAGTTAAGAAGCAAAGATCATAGACTAGGACCAAAAAGAGTACTAACAGAAATAGTGATGACTCCTTCTTTCCCAACTTTCTCCATTGCCCGCGCCAAAAGTCCACCAATTTCATGCTCGCCATTAGCGGAGATAGTGGCCACCTTTAATAAGAATATACCAGTTAGAAACACTATAATAAGAGGGTTCGAAGAAAATACAAAAAACGAACGAGAGTACAAAACAAAATCAACCCTACTCAATCAATTATCAACTCTATAAACTGAATTTTTAAGAAAAACTAGAAAACAAACTCATTATACCTTATCTTGAAAACTCAAATGCCTTGGTTAACAAGAACTGAATGAAAGTATGAAACATAAAAGGCATTGTTCATGCCTCCTCTATTTTAATATCAGGTCTAACTTAAAAAGCCAGTCACCTGTTCGATTTCCTCAGGTGTGCTAATCATGATTGCTCGGCTCTTTAAATCCTTAACGACAGCATCAACTGCCATATTTATGCCTTTGCGCAAATCCATCACATTTACACCTGCAGCTACTGATTTGCAACCTTCTCTGAAGATTGCCTGAGTCAACACAGTAGCACAAGTGGTACCTGATGCAAACACCAAGTTTAGGATCAAGATCATATGCCATGGCAGAAAAAAAGAAAAGAGAATAATCAGACTCCAAATACTATCTAATTTACCATAAAAAACATTCAAGAAGAAAACAGTTAATATTGTCCACAGGCAGAGATAAAATGTGCAGTGAATAATCAGTAAATACTTGCAAAAAGTGCTGGCATTTGTCAACAAAGTGAATATATCCACTCTCTTGATTCCCATAACTTCTCAATACAAAGTCTCATTCCTATTTATTTATTTAATTTTTTTTTTTTTTTTTTTTTTTTT